TTGAGCCCTTCTACAAATTTCCTTGGTAAAGAAAGAATATCCAGGGATTTCAGAAAAGTACTTAATCCAAGGAGTAAAGATTATATCGCCCAATGTAAGGGAATCCGGATTCCCGAATTCGGAAATTTTTGCTTGTGGAATCTGGAATCCGGGAAAAATTTGCATTTGGAATCTGGAATCCGGAAAAATTTGCATCTGGAATCCGGAATCAGCGAAAAATTTGCATGTGGAATCCGGAATCCTGGGCTTTAGAATCCGGAATACAGCTCAAGGGATCCGGAATGCCATTTGCGATTGGAATCCAGAATGCAAGTTCCACTGACAAAGACTGGAATCCAGTACCTAGAATCCGGAATCCGTGACGTGGAATCCAGACTCCAAGACTGCCTTGGATTCCCTCACATTGGGCAAAACAAATGATTAGAAATGGGACTTGAACCAATCACGAAACCTTATTCAAAGGAACAACGGGAACCAAAATCACAATTATTTTAACCAAAAAAGGAAAAAAATTAATGTGGCAGTGACAGTATTCTGAAAAATGCACATAAACTGGACTGCTTAGCAATGGATAGTAGTGAGATTAAAGTTGTGGAATTTATTTTTTTTTTCGTCATAAGAGACTGATGTTCAAGTTATTTTTTCTCTGCAGATGTCTCACAAGATTTCCACACACGCCGTAATCACATACATTTTACAAACAATGATTATAATTATTGCCATTGCATGCAGGGATCTTACTTCCAGTGAAATAGATTAACATAACGTTAATAATAATGATAAAACAGAAAATTTGTCATGAAATCTTTTTTGGGCTGTTTACAGTAAATGATCAATTAAACTCTTGAAACCAGGTTTATATAACGGTTCAAGGTGTGTACACATTTGTCCTTTTTCTTGCACAACTCTGGGCTCTCTCTATATTCCTCTCAGTGTTTCGTCCGTCGTTTAAATAAGCGCCGCTCTCAAATAAGTACCGCTTCCAAATAAGCACCACACCTTTAACATGAAAAATAAAATAGGTGCCGCGGCGCTTAATCGATCATTTACGGTATGTGTTGAGGGTGGTTTGGCAGGATGAGGGTTTTGGCTATTTTTTGTGACGTGATACTCGGGATGCGAGCTAAAAAAAGGAGCGGGAAGGAATTTTGATAATGAGCAGGAGTGGGATTTCCTATTTTTATTGGGTTGGGATGCTGGAATCGTAAGAGAAAAGGAGTGGGATACGGGAGTTATGTTTTGTTGTGACCGCATTTTGACTCTTTTGTGTACACTCCCCTTGTACTAGGAACTACTAGTCATCAAGGAATTTAAGCCTGTCAATTTTATCCATTATCACCTTTGCGTGTTTTCGTCTTATTTTGGTACTTGGTAAAGACGGTGTGCATGAACGGTCAATGGAAAGGTCTGGAGTGAGGCCAAAAATCAAATTGGACTAGTGAAAGACGCGAAAAATACACAGTTAATTTTATACAGTCTTTGCCTGTACTTCGCACCTTTTAAAACCGATTGCGAGAAAAGAAGAAAAAGCACCGTTTGCAAACATTTGCAGGTCATAAACACCTATTTGTGTGAATTTAAGAGAGGAATAAAATAAAGAGACTTTAAACAGGAATGAGTACAAGTAGCAGTATAAAAGAGGAAGAAATCGAGGACCAAGCGAAAGAAGGGTGGAAGCTGACTGCAGACAATTCGAAACATCCATATACCCAACTCAACTGCAGGCTGGCCAGAACTCAGATTGAAGTAAACCTTTTTTTTGTACTGATGCACTCACAAAAAAAAAACATTAAAAAAAAGCAATACAGAAAATAAAGTTACACCCGGTAATGGTTTACCCTGGCACCAGGCTCTGCTTTGGGGGAAAAGGGAGAAAAAAATTGATCCTGTTTTTTGCCTTTTTTGCCAACTATGACACTATGCCTGATCCCAGGCTAATGTTTCAGTCAAGAGCATTAAACATCAAAGCTGCCTATTGCAAGAAGGCAAGGCTTATACATTGTATAACATTTTAATATTTCAATAATGAAAGCAAGAAACTAATAAAATTAATTAGGGCAGAATCTAGTGTGTTAAACAGCTGTTTTTAGTGTTGTCACGCAATGCTCCTCCCCACAAACTTCGTGGCTGTGTAGCAGGCTAGGAGGGATTGTGATTTGGACTTAAAAGCAGGCAGGATAGCAAGGTTAAGAAGAAAAAACAAGCAGGAAGGCGTGACTTGACAATCCTATTGTGGACCCTCTGTGTTTCTGTTGATTTTTACCCCAAGCTGCTAAGAAAAAACAGGCTTTACTACGGTTGGTCGGCAAGTTACACATAAATCTGAATTGACAAACTATACAAGCTTTACAAATACTATTCACTGATAAACAAAACCGTTTTTCAATCTATCGCTATCAGAATCCATACAAATGATGTTCGGGAGGGTTCTGTCACACGCATGTAAAGGTACCACGTGTGGCAAAAACACACATGCCACATTTGAATAGATGGTTTTCAC